TCTATGGACAAAGTTCACAGCTTCCAGAAGGCAACTTACAGTGTGGCATTGGATAGGAGATCCACCCACTGGGCTGCAGTGACCTAGAGATCAGGCTGGGGCCTGGTTCTGGTTAAACTGAGAAAATGCCCAAAATCAAGGCACAGCAAGTACAGCTCCCCTCCTTCACCTAATCCCAAGATTGACACCCTTGAGGTATGTGTCTTGCCACACACAGCTGCATCTTGAGCCCAGGAGCCCAGGTGACTACTGTGCCTTTTTAAAACTGTATCAGGACAAAAGTCCCTTCCCACAGACTGATCTTGGACAGTCCCCCAGGCCTGTGTGACCTCCAGCCAGGACAACACTCAGCTTAAAGCCACCTCTGAGGACTGCCCGGAGGGAGACCTCTGTGAAGACAGAATGTGAAGTCTACCTTCTTCTAAGGGAGAGAGAGAGTCACAACAAGGAAACACGCCTGCTTCACAACAGACACTTTCTACCTGCCTATTTCCCACAGTCATAAAACGCCACACTGCTCTCCTCATAGATCTTGGTCCCAGTGTAAAGAGCAAAAACAGGAATGTTACTGATTTGGGGCAAAAGAGTAATCAGGCAGAGTCATGTTTAGATTCCATATCCTCTAATACATTGGAGAGAATGAGAACCAACAGTCTTCCATTTTACAATTTATAAGAGTCCTCTTTTCTGTAGGCTCCTTGGCGTTTTAAGTTAACATCGAAAGTGCTATAATCTGAAGGCAAAACACAAAGCTGGAACAGACTCATGAAAAGTTCCATGTCAGCTGGCAGTTGCCACACCACGGTGTGGTCTGGCCCAGGATTCTGTCCCTGACAGAAACCTTAAGATGTTTCTGGAACAAACTTCCTAATATTGTCAACCTGTGAAATCTATCACAGGTAAATCTAACAAAACTGGGACTCACATATACATTTGTGTAAGAGAGAAGAGGCTCCCACGTGTTTTCTTACCAGGTCATGGATGCTGTCCTCTCAAGCCTCTTCAGAAGCCATCTCTCCATCACTGAGAGCAGTTTGGTGGCGTTTAGAGTTGGAAGCACGTCACTTAATAACTTTGGGTAAGTCCCTAACGTTACAGCAGTCACCTCACATGAAGTCAGTGAGAAACAAAAGCATCTTGTCCTCTCTTAGCCACAGGGGACACTAAGCAGCACCTGTCACTGTGCAAAAAGGGGAGACGAGTCACTTGACCCACCTCCCTTACAGGGCTGTTGGGGGGAACCAGGTGATGCTGTTCAAGTGCTGCACAAAATCATGTGAAGTATGCATCTCTGTGTAGCATTTTGTTACTTTAGAAAGTTCACATAATGCACAATGCATTAAAACAGAAAAGTTCTAGAACAATTCATGTTAGTCTCAGGTGCCCCTTCCACAACCTGAACTGAACCCTGGATCAGGAAGGAGCTTTGTGAGGCATGTACTCCAGTTTCCAGTCCCACTTTGCAGGTGAGGAACCTGCAGCCCAGCAAAGCTAAGCGGCATCTTAACCTTCAAATTCGTAGGTGGTAAAATTATCCTTCTTGCGCGTATCTCTCTGCAAAGGCCCCTTGGTCACCTCCCCTTGGTACCTGATGTTTGCAGAACTACAAGGAAGAAAGTAGTTCCTAAGGTTTCTTGCTGGAGAGCCTGACCACTGGGAGGCATTTACACAGCTGTCCAGGGCAAGCTCAAGTCCCTCCTCCCTGCAGTGCCTTCTCTGGCCTCTCCCTGCTCTGAATACAGTGATGCTCACCTGCCTTGAGCAAGGCCTGCCCTGTGCTGTTATTCAGCTTGTCATGGGGACAGACTTTTCTGATGCCAGGTGAACATCTGTTCCTTATGGCTCTATAGAGTTCTGCATTAGAATATTCCCTGACTTAACTCTGGGGCCAATAGCAGTCACAATGGCTTTTTGATGAAAAGGAGCTCAAATGTAGCTCCTCAGTCATAGGTCCAAGAACGAGTCTGGGGTCAATTTAACCAGCACTTAGAAGGTACACATAATGCTTCTGCTCTAAGAGAAAATAAACAAACCGTGCTCATGAAGACTGATTCTGGTCATAAAGACAAAGCCTGATCTTTCGCGAAGACTGATTCTGGTCATAAAGACAAAGCCTGATCTTTCGCGAAACAATGAGTGTCCCATACAAACAGGAACCTAATCACCTGCTGAGGAGACTGTGCTGGGGTGGACTGACTGATTTCTGGGCAGAAGACACTGCCCTCAACTTTATCCATCACGAAGCAAGATTAAACTGGAACAAATGCACACACTGCACTTCAGAGAGATTTTCAACACTCTGGGCTGACATACCATAAGAAGAGTAAGATTTCGACTATTCTGAAAAACTGTTAGTTGCTTTCTGAAAAGGAGTGTAAAGGATTTACTTCGGTGCTGAGTTGGCAGAAATTAACTCAGAGCCTGCTGCTATAGAAATTCAAATACTCCAGAGGCTAGAATTTAGAGCAAAAAAACCAACTTTCCTCTTAAGAACTCCTTTGTCAAGGAGATCCTCAGTAAATGTTACTTTGTTACTTCCCTAACTTTTCAGATACTTGTGGATATTAGGTCAGCAGCTTGACATTAACTTTTCAAGCAAAAGCTGTTTGTTAACCATAATTGCATGCTCATAAAGGTAAGCATTACATGACACAATTCTCTGTCGTTTCTCTCAGAAGCGGTTTAATTTTAGTGTTGGCTCTTCAACTCTGTCCCCATTTTTTTTTCATGAGCATCTTAAATATGTGTCAACCAACTATCCAGAAGTGTTCATAATTGGGCAAAGCAGAGAAGAGCAGCTGTGCGGCAGCAATGCCTTGTTGGAGCTACCTCACCCTCACCTGGGCCCAGTCAATCGTGAAAACGTGCAGCCCTGCAGTTGCACCTTCTCCACCAGCAAATTATTCTGCCACATCTCTAAGTTTCTATATTTTGATCCAAGCCACACTTCTGTCAAATGACTATTAACAATGCTCACGGACACTGACAATGGCAGCATTTAAAGGAGGCGCTTTCCTCATTGCTCATATTCAAAGAGACAATTTCCCAACTCTATCAACTTATGTTAGTAGGACTCTAGCGCATCTATCACTAGAGTCGCCCAAAGTAAGTCACATGAAACGTGAATTCCATGCTATGTAATACAGCCATGGGCTCATATGAATGTAATGTTTCTGCATGCACCAGGATACACAAAGCTGAAATGTGTTCCCTCTTCCTACTTCTGGTTAGCCCCCCTTTCTCCTCTCCCTTCTCTACTTCTAGGAACCCTCTGGATTAGATCCTTAACACTGGAACCCCTGAGGTCACTGCCCACCTAATCTGTAACATCGTGACCACCTGTCAAAGCGTCTCCTGATGTCAAAGCACCTTCTGATCCCAAAGCTCTCCTAGGTGGCATTAAGGATCAGTGCTAATAGCTCAGCCACTCTCAGATACTCCGGAAGGCAAGCAAGCACATGGAATTAAAGAATTGCACTCTGACTCGACAAAAGATGCAAAAGTCACCAAGGCTGTATTTTTCACTTGCTTTATCCTCCAATATTTCAGTCTTGGGAATTGCAGCGGCACCAGTTACTGCAAAAATTCTGGAAGGTTTTATATAGCTTGTGCCTACTCCACCCCCAAAGTCCTAACAAAAACGTATACATTTGTTAAATGCAATTTCCACCAAGCCAATCTTAATGGGGCCCGAAGAACAGGGATAAGAGAATTACTTATGACAGACAAATCAGAGCCTTACAAATATCATAACTCCTCCAAAACTGCCCAAGATAATTTTTTCTCCCATCCGCAGTATGTTAAAAAGTGATCTCAATGGCCACTTCCTGGTCTCCCAGCAAATGCAGGGGCTCACTTCATACCTGGAATGTCATCCTCGTATTGCTCGACCTGCTCCTGGCACAGGGGAAAATGACCCCTATCACCAACAACTCCTTGGAAAATATATGAGAACACAATGAGTCTTGCCCTACACACACAGAGGGGGTACAGGGGAGATCCCTCTGCAAACAGCAGCTTCAGTGGAGGGTCATCTGACAAAATGACACCCTGGGGTTAACCCTGTCATCTAGGTCACAAACGATCAGGCTAGGATCCCCAGGTGGGGGAAAGGGACAGCCAAAACAGGGCTCTTGGGTGAAACGGAGAGAAAACAATCACCTCTAATTCCCTACCCAAAAGTGGGGCTCTGGCTTGGTCAGAGACGCAATGGGCAGTTAGGTCCAGAAAAGCAACATGAAGGATCCCAACCTCCCCAAGATCATCTTCCGCTGGCAGCGACCCCAAGAGGGATCCAGTAAAGACATGTCCATTGGCAGAACCGAGGGAACCTCTCCACACGCCCTAGGAACCCGTCTAGGAGCAAAGCAGGCCGGGGGTTTCCTTCCGAAGCCAAGGTGCTTCCAGCAGGGAGAAGAGGGAAGGAGGACTTCCCTGATCACCCAGAAGGCCGAGATATCGGAGGCACGGGCTCCCCGAGTCATACTCCAGCCACCAGTTGCTCCATAGCCTTTCTCCCTCCCCTCCCCCCAGTCGAAAAGTGCTTCCAGGGGTGGGTG